GCCACCTCCTCGTCCTCATCCTCTGCAACCTTCTCCTTCTTCTTCTTCTTCTTATCCTCTGGAACCTTTTCCTTCTCCTTTCCTTTGCTCGCTGCCTCCCTGGCAACCTCCTTGTCCTTCTGCTTCTTTTGTTTTTTTCCGCTGTCTACCTCAGCAGCCTCCTCCTTCTCCGGGCTATCTATGATGTAGGTTGTTTCATCGAAAGACACCCCTCGCCTGTTGGAAGGAGCAGTCTCTTCACCCTCCACAACGTCAGCTGTTGAGAGGTGCTTCATACGACGTGGACCCTTTCCACCAGGTTCATTTGTCAAGGCCTGTTGTCCTTGAGGTTTCTTTGGAAGCCACCCAGACGACTCAGCAGGTTTCTCTGGACTTTTCCCTTTACCTTTCCCCTTCATAGACATCATAAATGTAGCTGCGACATCCCTTGCAGAAGCACCATCTGTGATCATCTGCTTCAACTCTGAAGCAACATCCAAAGACCCGCAAGCGAGTCTTGGGCTTGATTTCGATCTCATTCTAAGGTATTGCGACTGCGTCCTCTTTTCTGGGGTGATGAGATCTTCTTCCTCCATACTTCGTGTCCTGGCACGGTTTATCATGGCAAAGAGCGGCAAAGAGGGTCTAAAGTCACATCACTTGCCGCCAGGTAACATGACCAGGTCAGATCTGTCTCCTGAGTGGGATAACCATGTTCTTGATTTTTTTCATTTTCGAGTTTCTCGGAATTTCTCGGAATTTCTCGCCAAGAGCATTTATAGGGTGACCTATGATGTTCTTTTCTCGGAATTTCTCGGAACTTCACGTGGCATATTTTTTGGTCTTTTTTTACAAATTTCATCCAAAGATAGGGGGTTCCTGCACTTTCCAGGAGTTATGTTCAAATCACACAACCGAGACGCTTGTGGAGCTCAAAAGAACACGGGCCGCATAGCTCATGTTTTACAGGGTGCCCAAACAGGCTGTTGATTTCCAATTAGCGTGTTATCGCTTTGCACCTTGGGTGACAGACCATCGAGGCTAACTGGAAGGTTTGCCGGTTCTTCGATATGAAAGAGCTATGGTGATAATTTTCCAAGTGGAAAATTGCAAAGCCAAGGTATCACCCACCAAAAAGATTAAATTGTTGCTCAGCAAGCGGAGGGCACCACCAAGAAGGGTCTGGCGGTTATATATGCTTTCAACTTCCACCCTTACTTACCCATTCAATATATATATGTCCGGACCTGCGCTATATATAGCGTATATATATATAGCTCCCTGTCCCTCAAGGCCCACAACTGGCGTTTCTTGAAAAGCTCGTAGAACCCACGCAGGTCTTCTAGTTGAAAATCTGCACTCGGAATGCCCGATGAATGTCGCAACATTTGGAGCCATTATATACTTGCCATCCTAGCAAAGGCCAACAAGCCCTAAAAGGCATTTGGGGGGTGCCTTTTTTAAATTAGTTTGTTTAATAGTGCCTTTGGTGGTGAGAAAGGGCGCCCTAAAAATTGCGGCTCGTATTGGTTGGCACGCGCATGTTTTCCATATACACCCGGCTTCGGCAGGCTGTCAAATTTCTTGAAATTTCGTGTCCTGAATTTCTTGAAATTTCGTGCACTTAATTTCTTGGAAGTTTGGGCCACGCTAGCTTGGTTGAATATCGAATTTCGTGAAATTTCTTGCAATTTCGCATGTCTACTGGCGGGCTTTCAAATTTCTTGAAATTTCGCGCGCTGAATTTCTTGGAATTTTGATCTGCTCTATTGTAGCTGGACTTCAAATTTCTTGAAATTTCGTGCGCTGAATTTCTTGGAATTTTGATCTGCTCTATTGTAGCTGGACTTCAAATTTCTTGAAATTTCGTGCGCTGAATTTCTTGGAATTTTAAATTGACCTCTACTGTAGTTGGCCTTCAAATTTCTTGAAATTTCGCGCGCTAAATTTCTTGGAATTTCGTGTCCGGAAATGTATACTTCCTTTACTATAGATCTGGCAGGCTTCCAAATTTCTTGAAATTTCGTGTCCTTAATTTCTTGGAATTTCTTGAAATTTCGTGCGCTGCAGAGTCCTGGTTTGAATGTCAATTTTCTTGGAATTTCGTGCCCGGATATATATATATATATATTGACATTGTTATTTTTTCTTTTGGTCCGCTTTCAAATTTCTTGAAATTGTGCGCCCTAAATTTTTGTAATATTTATTGAAATCCAATTCACCTATAGTTTCTTAGAATTTGGATCTGTACTAGTCTAGCTGGGTTTCAAATTTCTTGGGATTCACGCCGCCAAATGGCTGTGAAGTTCTTTGAGCCTTCGCTATACTACACTGGCTGGATTTCAATTTCTTGGGCTTTCTGGTCCTCTTATTATGTGCTCCTGACAAGTAGACTTTAATCAAGTTTGATCGCATTACCTTCTATAACCCCTCAGTTTGTTGGTCTTATTGAATTTGGAACTGGCAAAGCTTCATAGAGTTATACATATGTATATATATATATATATGCACCCACCCCCCCCAAAAAAACATTCTTCAGTGTCCTTTTGTAGCTCCAACGGTTCAAGAAGGGTACTACAAAATATATTAGGCATATCTTAGGATACCTCAAGGGACCGCTGATGGTTGCTCATCGCTATACTTGTCAACTGCGGACGGACGCACGGACTGACTGACTGACTGCCTGACTCTTGGCCACGCAGAACTGCTTTGACAACTCGATCGCCGGACAATCCGAAAACAGCTCCACTCATGTCAGCGCTTTTGCCGTGATCCGCAAAAGATGAAAGGAGGAGGAGTGATGTGAGGAGAGGAGAGGAGAGGAGAGGAGAGGAGAGGAGAGGAGAGGAGA